TGATTACTTTCCTTCAAATAGGTCTGTGGGATGCGTAAATTTTCTTAGTGTGTGGTGGACTTTGGTTCAGCATTTCAGGCTTCCTGAAATTTGTTATTTGGCTTGTTGGAGAGTTGTATTTTTGGTATGTTGGACATCTTCTAAACTATTTGTTTCATACTGTATTTTGTAAGTACTTTGTGGAAGAGGAGCTGATGCTGGGCACTAGGCAATTTTTGATGTGGAGTGTGCTTGCCAAACCTGTCAAATTTTATGGAACTCATTGCAGGAAGTGTCAAGCGAAAAAGTGACATGTTTTTACAGAAGGTCAGATATTTCTGTATCACTTGGAATTTAGCTGGGTTTTTTTATTACAGAAGAGAATAAGTAATAAGATTCTTGGTGTAGCTGGCATTGTTTTGGGAGATGTTTAAAACTTTGTAGTGATGCAACTATTTGCTCTGCAGCAGTTTTGACAACTGCTAATGTGAGTTAGAAGTACAAATTTAATACGGAAAAGCTGCTTTCACAAGCTAGACGTAATCAAATATCTCATTTTATATATGTATTTTCTTTATTTTGGGGAAGAAACTCAGATTTTTTTCCCAATTTTTAATTATTCCCCCCAATGTTTAGTTACTCTTTTGTAGGTGGTTTGTTTTGGTAATGAAAGCAAATGAATCCCTTTTTCTCATTTACATACTACTTCTGACCTAGTCTGCCTATGGGTTCTCCTAATAGTTGTTTCTCTGAATAGACTTAAGGTGTTTCCAACTAGAATATTCGGTGACTAAGCAAAGTACATGCATTCTGCTCCTTTGCATCCTCATGGGATGACTAGGTAAAATCTACACTTCTTAATGTAAAAGCTGGATTTTGGGAAAAGAGAGAAAATGAGGAAGTTGATTTCTGATAGCTGCCTTATTTATTGGTGTTTTTTTTTTCTTTTTTGCTAGTTGGGACAAACCAATGCTGCATAAAGACCTGGAGCAGAGAAGCAGTTGTCCGTACAGGCTCCAGAGTAGTTCTCTGTAATTTTACTTTCTCAAAGGAGCAAAGCCCTTCTCCTGGATAAGGTGGAAATGTGGGATTTAGAGAGGATAAGCCAGACAGCTTCCTTCATTTAGGTGCCCACATGACTGCAAATGATGATCCTGTGGATCTGGGTTCAGTGAGAACCAATTTAGCAGCAGTCTTCTGTCATGCAGAGCACTGCCTTCCTCTCAGAGGTGGAATGGAGTTGGTGTGCGTAACTAGTTGTCTCTTGTATGTTTCCTGTATCTTGTTTTAGAATTGCATAGAAGTCTGTCTTTCTAAAGCTTAATGTCCTTTCATGTTATTTCTAATAATTTGTATGTAATGAAAGTATTCTTTTCTTGTTTTGTTTTACATCTTGGTTGTTTTTCTTATGAAGGAAAATGTATTTTCCTATCTGGAAGCTCTGTGTTTAATCTGTGACCTGAATCGAGCTGGATAATAACATCGCCAGAATTAAGATTGCACTGGCCCATTTTTGCCCCCAATTATGTCTGCTAACCTTTTCTCTCTGATCCGCAATACAAAAATTGGAGTCTGCTTAATTATTAAGTAGTGGTGAATTTAGAGCAAATAAAAAGGAAGGTGGCAAGGACTACTAAATGGCACAAAGTAGCATTGGGCAGCCAGCCAGTTTGCTGGGATGTAAGTGCTGTTTATGGTATCGACCTCAACTGGGTACCTTTTGTTTATGTGTTTGCCCCTAAATTGGAATTGTTACCCCTCAATGTGGCTGTGTTGTGCTAAAGGATAGATTAGTATGATGAATGTACTTTTCCACAAATCTGTATGAATGGGTTCAAGCCAGGGTCAAGCCTGATGGGTTAAAATGGATGCATTATTTTTAAGCCTATTTTTCATCCCTCAGTCCTAAAAAGCAACCCCTAAGCAACTCTGTTTGAGATTAGAAAACTAATATTAATATTTATGCTTACTGTAGTCTCTTTTTACCTAAATAAAATTTAGGCAGCAATGTCTATTGCTGACTATCTGGAATTTCAGACTGTTGAAAGTAATTAGCATGGCAAGCAGAAGTTGATGAACTGATGAGCTGTTCTGTAGCAATTGCAGTTTCTGCAGATGCTGAGAAGGAAGTGACGTTTTGGTTCATTATGTGGGCTTGCTTGTAAACTTAAAGATTGTCTGGAACTTGACAAAACAGGAAAGGAGATTTCTTTCAAGATTTTATGTATGAGAATTCTGTGGATGTTAAAATCATGAAGGGCATTATGATCAGAAATAGGCAGTCCATATATTATCTGTGGATAATACTTCCTCTATTTCTTATCTCCGTTTTTGATGTGGAATGCTTCTAAAACTATCCAGCAAATTGTAGTTCAGATTGACTGATACGCAATTATAATAATGCAGAGAAATTACTGTTTTAAAAATTTCGTTTTCATTCAGATATGCTCAAAGTCAGTAAAACTTTTAATGAATACTGTGGTGTGGTTCTTACATTTTCTTATGTTAGAAAATGATAAATTGAGGAACCTCAATGCATAAAGGGTGTTAAACAGTTACTGAAATGTAAGCATGTTCTCCCAACCACCTGTCTTTAAATGTCAACTTTAGAGATGGTTTTTAATAATAAAGTCGTTGACTTTCAAATGTGTATGCCATGCTTTATCTTTATTGGCATGAATAATTCCATTAATCTTATGGCTCAAGGTAAAAGGGGAAAAGAAGAATTAAGTAGTTGCATAAATGTCATCTCCAAGATGGCCTAATAAGGTGTACCATTTCCTAAAAATGAAATATTTCTATGTGACATCTTATTCAGTTACTGGAACCATAAACTTTGCTTTTCTTTGACAGAGTCATTTACTTTCTGTACTGTAATTCTTATCTAGTTTTTATAACTACATTAAAAAAAAGAAGAGAATTATAGAATAGTTTGATTCCTTATTGTTGAAAATGTCCTCTTTTTGAGGATTACGGAATCACTGATGAACATACATGAGATTATAAAAGGTTTTGTCTTTAGGCAAAGGATTTTTCTATGCTACGGTGCAGTATTCGAGCATCCATACTAATTTTAAACGTGAGTTCTGGGATTAGACACAGTCCAATTATGAAGCATGGATTCCAATGTAGGCTAGTTTATGAACCCTAGGAAGTAATTAATACAATGTTGCTTTCCAAAGGAGGTCATTTTTTTTTAGCAGACTGAGTCCATAATTGAAGATTTGACTGGGATTGTGTTTGTACATTTGCAAAAGTCTTTATATAAAAAACTTCTATCACATTATGAATACAAACAAAATCTGGTCCAGAAAACTGACTCAATTGGGGAAGAAGGGTGTGGGGAGAATTCAAATCACTAGGAATGCATTTTGCAGTGGAAAGATTTGGCAGTCCTACCTTGAAAACTTCTTGGGATTACAGAATAGTGAAAATTTATTTTCAGATTGTTGGTTTCTGAGATGTGTTCAGAATAAGGGGAGAAAAGAAAGTTGTTTTACGAGGTGTTTTTTTTTCTGCTGGGAACATACCTTTGGGTGCATTACAGACCTGCATCCGAGTGACAGCTTCAGTGAGCAGTGCACAATGTTATAGATGAGCAATATAATGTTGAAATGCCTAGAAATGATTTGATTTGTTCTTTATAATTTTTAAAATCTATGCATTTCCACTGGAGAATATGGAAATGCTTAATTTGACTGGAGATAGAAAATGAAATTTCAGTGAGGTGAGTAATTTACATGGGAAATGTTCATATTGTGTAATTCTGATAGTTTCGGGTGTCTTTAATTTTTTTTTTTTTTATTGCCTCAAAGTGGGATAGTGTTGGAAATGTCAAATTTTCTCATGGAAGACCTGTATAGCTTCTGTTCTCTGTTGACAGGCTTTGATGGTAGACCATTGTCATCTCCTACCATACTACCAGCATTTTATCACTTTTTAAACGATAGTCATTGCTTTTTCTTAAGTTCTTATTGAATGGGGAACTAATAAGAAAATATTATAATATTGCATAATAACAATGATGATTATTTTATAATTATTACTAAATAATTGCTCATATCAGTGAATGCAAAAATCTAGTCGCAATAGTTTCTTGGTACAGTGTTTGAGTCAGTCTTCCCCTCCAAGAATTCAGAAGGCAACATAGTTATGCTTCCTAATGGATGTTATGCTTGTTCTGCGTGCCTTTTTTTTTTTTTTTTCTTTTTAAATGGCTGTCAAAATGGATGGATAAAGGGGATAGGAATGAAATATGATGAGTGTTTAATGAAGGCAGATGGTTACAGAATTTATAAGACTTAGGATTTATTCTAAGAATGCACTGACTTTCAAATGTGGGAAGTAAAACAGAAACAAAGTGTCATCAGGCCATATTGACAAACTCACGAGTAAAAAAATTCTGGTAGTGTCAGACTTTTTTTTTTTTTTAAAACTCGATAGAACAGCAATAAAATTCTAGTTAGCTGAGCGTGGCTGAGTGTTTTAGCTTGTAATTGATGTCAGTTAGTAATGCATCTGCATTTGGTTGGAATGGCAGAGGGGAGTATCCCAGTGAATCCCAGGAGCTTGAGGGAGGCTGGGCCAGAGGAGCAGGAAGCCTGTAGTCTCTGAATGTGTTTGAGTTTAAAGTGAGAAATCCATTAGCCAAGGCTTTTCTTGTGTGAAATGGTGTGCTTTTTCTTGTCTGTAATTTTGCATGTCTACTTTGAACACTGCTTAAGCAGTTAAAACTGCTTAAAATGTGTTAAAGCAGTAATTTTCTAGCTTACCATTAGATGGACTCTTTTAATAAGTATTAGTTTTTAAAAAATAATGATTTTGACCCATTTTGGAATAACAGAAAAAATTAACTGCCTTTTGAAATAACTGTCAGTAACAGTTATTTCATATTTTCTGTATAGCGCTAATTGTATGTCTAGTACGACATGACTCTCCTACCTCCTACCTGACTGTTCTCTAAAGAGTACGTTATTTTTCATCAATGTTAGTCTGTAAATTAATTGCAAAAATACAGCGACATGGGTAAATGTGCGCTCTGTGAGCAAGACCAGTACAGAAATACAGGATAAGGTGGCCAGATTAATCAGCTCTAGAGAGGTTAGTGCTGCTACTTCCCTGGCGTGTAGAACAAACGACTTTTGGAACTCGAGTTAAAAGATAACCCTGTCCTTTTGATACAGTTACATGGGGCTTCTAAAATGGGACACGTACCATTCTCTTGCTTCTGTTCTGCTTTATATATATAATGCTTTTCTGTCTTCAGTTAATGAAAGAATCTGGTCTCCATTTCTTCTGCGTTTTTGTGACGGCCTGAACTGCGTCATTACTTGGTCTGTGATGCAAGAAAATGTTTTTGAAAGCTGCATTGTTTCTTCTCTCTTTCTGGTCCTCCCTTCCCCCCTCCTTTGTATGAAGTCTTGCGCTGCTTGATTTGACATTTAATTCCTTATTCCTTCTCCTGGCTTTTCCTGCCCTTTTAGCAGTTTTCCGAGTGCATTATCCCCTTGCTTCTCTTGTGAGAGAGACCATAGTTGTCTGCGCAGTTTACTCCTGTCTATCTTTTTCTGTGATACCACTGTGTGAAACGTGAAGAGTGGAGTTGCGCATCAAACGATAACCCTTGAAAAGCAAATACTTGGTTCCATGTGATAAGAACAGTATCATGGTCTGGCTGCCTGTGAAAAGTTCCTGAGCTTTCCAAAGTCACAGGACAGCTATTTTGTTGACACGACCAGTTTTTGTTGGGCAGTTGGGACTTATGTTTCTGTAGATAATTCTCTTTTCTCTTACGACTTTCAAAGCTGGCAGGCATAGATGCTGTTTCATCTGGGACAAGAAAGAAGGCAGGATACTTGAAAAGGGCAATGCGAAAGCCTGTGAGAACTGGTTGCTTTTTTCTATAAGATTACTGCTTGAGTTGTACTGGAAATATATTGCATGCTTTTACAGGCAAATAAGACATCATCACAAGTGCTGAAAACTGAAGGTACAAGGCCAGTGTTAATGTTGGGTTTTCCTGAGACTATATAAAATAGGTTATAGTTGGCTAGGAGGGCAAGTTATCACTACTGTAGCAGTGATAAGAAGGATGCTGTCTCTGCACGTGCGGTTTTGGCAGAAGTCTTGCGCTCTGATGTCGTTATGCTGGTAAACGTGTATTCTGTACTCGAATGGCTGGTTTCCCTCCCTGGAGTAGCTTTATGGCAATGCAAAGCCCATCTTTGTGGAGCTTACAGTCATTCTGGGAGTGCTTTGCTGGTCTAGCATGCAAAGGTTTCTGAGTTGAAGTGCTCATAGTGTTTATGTAACGTAATAGATTCTGTTCTAATAGACTCAGAGGAACTTTTTTCCCCAAATCCTTTGGTCTAGATAAGAGAAGGAAAGATGTTTTTTCTTGCCTCTTTCTTTCTTCCTTCTTTCTTTTTTCTTTTAACTGTTACTCTTCCTTTTGGTAATTGTAGACCTGTACTGCAGTAACCACAATGATGACTGCCAAGGTACTAATTGATAAAAGATGGTCTGATAACAAAAGCTGAAATAAATGATTTATACCTGAACAATAAAAGGACAATGAAATTATAATGAGGATGGCACAGGCTCAGAATGGACATCACTGCATCGAAAGCCTAGACTTGTTTGCTAAACCCAAAGAGATTGCTGAAAACTTGTCATTGGATGGGGAGAAGTGCTAGCTTTAGGGTCAAGCTACTGTATTGTTTTCTTAGGGGCATGGCATCACTTTTAGTGCTCTGCTTTTTCTCCTGAATATGTAACAGTTATTCCTAAAATGGACAAGGAAAACTGAGAATGAGCAAAATTCACATTTGCTATGAAATGTGCAAGTCTGACTTTTTTTTTTTTACTGTGTGTTTTCCAATTCTGCTGTTTTCATCTACAGTTAAGTGCATCATATTTCCCTGCTAAGCAACCTGAAGATAAATGCTTTGTAAGTGGGAGAACAGTATTGTAAAATCATTTAAAAGTCAAACAAAACAGCAAGGTTATGGACTGGTGTAATACAGGACAATAAGGTAATCTTGTGAAATTTTGGCTGTTTCCATTTAGGGCCTCCTTCTTTTTAATGCTACTTTTGAAAACACTGTGGTGGTTGGCGTTCAGCTTGCCATTTCTCTTGTCCTTTTTTTTTTTTTGTAGTGAAGGTAAACTGCAGAGGGAAGGTGAAGAGATCGTGCTTCAGGATTATAAAAGGGAGGTCTTCCATTTGTTTTGTGAGGGAAGGGATACAGAGTCGCTTATGGGAGATGTGGGAGATAGAGTCAAGGCAGAAGTGAGGGGTGTAGTGATGCACTAGATTAAAATAATTTGGGACAGGTGGTGCTAATCTGTGATATTTTAAAGAGAATTTGATCTTTGTTCTGGTGCAGAGGAGGCGGCAGTAGACAGTTATGCCTAAATGTGGCAAAGGAAGGTTGCCCAAGCGAAGTGTCCAAATCTCTGTAAATCTTAGGCAATGATTGCTTCCATCATGTCCAGGCTTATTTAGCTTGAAAAAAGAGATGAGCACAAGAACGCCAGTAACTTCAACAGGCTGTGAAGACAATCCTGGAAATACTTTGTCATGGGAAAGGTTAGAGGTGTTCTGCATATGGGGATATTGAAAAAGGGCTAAGACAAAATGCCACTTAAGTGTTAAATAGTATTCTATGTTCAGAACAGAATTAAAGATCTGAATTTAATAGTATTTAAGATACTATTGTGAAAGATGGGTTTATTTAGAAAAAAAAATTGTGTTTCTAACTCTTGAGACTGACATACTAAGTTCAAAAGATCTTCACTTTCATTTAGTGCACTTGGAAAATGCAATTAGTTTATTTTTGTTTGTATAATCTTACAGTTCTAGCAGCTGGTTTATTGTGGAATGGCCTGTGTTTGTCAAAACTTTTTTTTTTTTTTTTTTTTAAAATCTTTGGAATTACTGGATTTTCACTGGCTGAGTATTTCCTGATCCTAAATGTATGATCAGCAGTAAAAATGTTTTTTCCTTCTTGGAATTTGTTAGCAGAATGACCAAACAGAATTTAGACTTTACTTCTCTCTCCTCCTAATTGTTTTCTTCTATGCAGGTGTCCATACTTCCTAGTATGGACTACCATACTACCTAGTACTTATTGGGATCTTAATGTTCAGTTCTGTTGCCCAGTTTTCAAAATTACACTCCACATCTGTATGTGAAATAATATCACAAAGATGAAAATACCACGGCATCTTTAATTGTGGTCACCCCTCTGCAAAAACAGCATCACCTTTTCAAAAGACTAGTTGTACGGAATTAGCATGTCTTGCAAGGTTATGAATGGGAAAAGAAATGGGAGGGGCCAACCTCCCCCAAAGCAGCAGTCTCATACTTCTTCAGCAGAACTTCTTCAATTAAAAACTCATTTCCTTGCTTTTATGTCTTGTATGTGAACCTCACCATTAATCTGAAGGAAACGTGAGTAAAGTAATAGCTCACACGTGCCCTTGAAAAACAAAACCTAAGGATCAAAATAACAAAACCTTATAAAATTGAGTTGTTACAAAAATGGATTTAACCATGTTTGTTTATTTATAGTCTTGATTTAAGATCAGTCTGTGCTCTTTGAGTAAACGCATGAAAAACTTTAACAGAAATACTATATGACTACATTTTCTTTGAACAGGTACTTTGTACTGGACTTTGAGACGGGAATTCTGCAGTATTTCGTGAATGAACAAAGTAAAAACCAGAAGCCACGGGGAACCTTGTCATTAGCTGGAGCTATAATATCGCCCAGTGATGAAGTGCCACACATGTTGGTGGTCTACTCTGCTAATGGAGAGATGTATAAGTTGAGAGGTACAGTGCTGCTTAAGTGCCAGCTGGGTCATTCTTCTCTCCCATTATTACTGCTTCTGCATCTCTTCTGTCATATGTCATTTCTCTTTTACTTCCTTACGCTGTCAGAAAGTAGTGATTATACAGCTGTGTTGTCACTTGCTATATTATAAAACAGTGCCACAGTAATCTGGAGTTAAATATGTGTGAATTTACAATATATAGACTTTCAGGGCTGGAAGATACCTCAAGATGCCTTCTATAAGCTGTTAGCGTGACATTTTGATTGTACAGTATATCTTATTTGTTTCCAAAGGAAGAAAAATCTGCTTTCATTGCTGTCCACAGCGTAGCATTTCACTTCTAATGTTGCTGTCCCCTGCCACCACCCTGCAGATAATGTGCAGTAGTGAAGGTGCTGATGGGTTGGAGAATGGAAAAATGCTACTGAAAGCCTCTTAAGATACTCTTGTTTTTGTCAATCTTGGAATAATTGAATGCACCTTTAGCACAAAATTTTGCCTTCCCTTGCTCCCAAATGTAAGAAAGACAGTATAGAGTATGTAAGAGTTACTTTGGAATATACATATATATATATTTAAAAAAGCAAGCAGTATTCTGATTCTAAGGTATTTTCAGTATGGTTGATTGATCAGGATACTTTCATATCAAATTAGTTTATAAAAAGCTAAACTGACAAAAAAGTGACATGTAATACAGTGTAACAAAAGTTTAAAATCATGTTAGTTTTTTTCTGACCGTAGTTTTAGTTGGCTAGCAGGACAGAGTATGCAGGACTGCCCTGTGGTACAGTGTGTTGCTGTTTTATTTGTAGGACTGAAACAGAACAACAACCAGGTAGAGTTTCTGTTAAAATGTTTTGGAATTTGCACAGTTAGAAATCATGAACACTTGTGGTTTCATTATCAAGCTTTTCCAGTCACTTCAGATTATAAGCTACTTAAAATATGCTGCTTTTAATTTAACAGGATCTATGAATTTGATTCAAAGCAGTAAATAATTTTTATGCTGAGTTAATAACCATTGAGATACTTAATAGCAGAGGAAGTAAGAGAAAATATTTACTGAAATTATCCAGTCTGTATTGGTATTCCTCATTAGGGTTGCTGTAGTAGTTGTTTTGTTTAAAAATAAAAAACACAACGAAACTTCTCTCCTAACTGTACTTATTAATATTACACAGGAGCGACCTGATACGGACTGCAGACAATCTTTTCAATGATTTTAAAAGCTGTTTTCCAAAGATGTATGGGGGAAATTGTGTTTTTCATTTTTGTGTCTTTAATTTGCATGCGAATGAGATGCAGGTTTAAAGAGAGGTTTAGTTGAACTACATTAAAACATAAGTACTAAAGTACCTGGGGAACCGGTAGCTTGTCTGCTAGCTGATTGACAGGCTGAGTGTAGAGGTTTCACTGATTTAAATGGTATGCTGTGGCCCTTGTCCTTCACAAAAAAAGATGAGTAAAGTAAAAGTAGATTAAAAATAAATAAAAGAAAAAAAGTAATTTTGAGGTAAGTCTGCTTGTAATAACACTTGGAGGAGATAACTATGAAGACAACTCATAAGCTTATCTCTTCCAACTGGCCACAGCATCTTAAGTTCAGATTTAGATGTCTTGTACTAAATAACTTACGTATACTTAATTTAAGTAGCTTAAATTAGAATATATAGTGTACCGTAACCAATAAATGATCTTTCTCCTCCCCACCCTGACCACGTTACATTCTCTTATGCAAAAAAAAGTATTGGTTTATGTGTGATTCCCTGCATTTTCTTGTTTCTGTTCTAGCTGCTGATGCAAAGGAGAAACAATACTGGATAACTCAGCTTCGATCCTGTGCCAAACATCACAAGGAAGGTAATTCTAAGGTAAATAATTAGGAGGGCGAAGTAACTATTATTTTTTAAGTGGTGTAGGTGGAGAACAGCATGATCTGAATGATAGACTTGCTGCTGTAGTTAGTGGGCTGGTGTTTAGAGGTTTATGAATAAAAGCAGCAAGTTGTCATTTCTCACTAACTGGAGCAGAGTTAAGTCAATTGGGCAATCTTACTGAATAAGCGTTGTCTTATTTATGAGAAATTAATGAAGTGCATTTTGGATGCTGTTAATACATGGTTGGTTGGGTCAACATTTATTAATAAGTATCTGTGTGATGTCCTGATTAGTATTTAAAAGTGTTAACTGGTATTAGTTTTATTTCATTTTATAAGATTTAATGGCTCTTACTATAGAAGCGTAATGTGTATGTTAGCAGTGGTCAGTCTTCAACTTTACCAAATCTGAAAGAGGTCATCATGTGAAGATTTATATTATTTATTTCTCTTCGGAACTGATGTCAGAATTTTTGTCCTCAAACAGGTAAATATTTTTGACAGGTAAAAAAACATCTGGACTGAATAGTGGAACGATGGGTTGAGGGTGTCCCCTGCCTCCAACTATGACATGCATCTGTTTAAACTAGAACGCCCTTTGAAAGTGGGAGGTATTAAAAATGAACAACCAACCCTATTAGAAATAAATTATTATTGTATTTATTTTAAGTGTGCTTTTGGTGTTAAAATGAAGTCACAAAAAAACCACCAGCTCCTGGTCGTCTTCAGTCTTTCAAGCACTTCTATTGATATCTTTACAAGAACGAAAAGGGTTGCTTTCCTCATGACTAATTGTTTGCTATATTAAAAAAGATGCATATAAGTGCAAGCAGAAAATATTCCTCCCTGCCCCAAGATGTTGAGAATATCAATCTTACGTTAACTGCAGTCAGAGTCATGATCCTGAGTGTCTTTGAAAGTAGGACTTTGAAAAGATGGATGGTATTTTGCGGAGACTGGCATTCACTGAAGTGTGTGAAGTAAAATAAAACCAACTTTTTGTTCTTCTCTTTGAGTGATGTGGACTTGCCAGGAAACAATTATGGTATAATTAAAACCCTTTTAAAAGGAGAATAAGTAACTTCAGTGTCTCAGTACTTCTTCAATTCTAATGCATGGCAATTAAAATAAATGGTTTTTATATAGTTGTGGCCCAGTACTATTCAGAAAGGTACACTTTGCCTGGTCAGAATACTCATGCTGTTGATTTGCAACTCAGGGACTTTCTGTGCTAGATAGAGACAGTAACTTTTTATACTCAATTGCCATCAGTGGATTATTCCTCAATAAGTTTTCTGGTCACTTCTTGAACCCATTTAAATGTTTGGCATCCACAATGTATTGTGACAAGGTAATAGAACTGTTGTTGAGTGTATATGGTGTCAGAGGTTTGTGCAATGGAAAATTAATTTTTATACTTCTACTGTCTATTCATTTGGTAATATTTCTTAATGCTGGATATGTTTTTCTCCTTTTGCCTGCTTCTGATAAATAATTCTGTAGAAGCATCTATTCTAATGCCAAAACCTCATTCCAGAGTGGCAGTAATTGAATTGAAGCTGATCTTTGTGTAAGTGAAGTTTGGATCATTTTTCCTCCTTAGGTAAAAACTGTTGCACTTAGTAATAATTTATGTTCGGATTTCATACTGCCTCTTCGTGTTGAGCTCTTGCAGTAGCGGTATCTACATACTTTGATAGGCTCTGAATTAATTAGTATGTCAAGAGAAACATCTTCATATTACAACAGTCCAGCAATTAGTAGTGCCCCAAAAAAAGTAAATAGAATTTTAAGAATTATCAGGAAAGGAGCAGAGAACAAAAGGGAAAATACTTAGACCGGTCTAACTCTGTCAAGTATTTGTCTTGAATACTTTCATCAGTCCCTTTCCATTTCTGAAATGGAAACATTAGAGTGGGGGAAAGTACTTTTCTTCACTTTTGTTATTCTTCTGTACAGAATGAACTCTCTGTGACAAAACTTGACCACATTGGAGTCTTTTTTTCTGATAATGGGAAGGAAAGGGGAAATCAGGGAAGCATAGCTTTAATAAGCGTTCTGGAGTGGCTGAATAGGAAGTATTTCCTAGGTGTTAATATCAGTATAGGGGAGCCTCAAAGAAAACGAGTTGAAAACAGGTTCAAAATAAAAGGAGATGAACGAAAGCCGGGATGCTTTGGATGCCAAAAGTGTTTATAGATTTGAAAGGCAAAATATTATTAGAAAGTCTTGACTAATTGAGTGGGAGGCTGTTAAATACAAAGACTGTGTCTGACCCAGAAGATCTAACATGCAACTTTTAGAAACAGGAAGGACTTAGAATGGGGAGCATCTCTCTAGATTTGTTCCTGTACTCTTGCATAGGGACTTAACACTGCTGTGGCTTTCTTCTGGCCCCTAGGCCCATCATGCAAGAAAATAAAAGGATTTCCTTGACTGAGAGGTGGTGGGCATGCATAACTGAGGAACTAAACGAAAGTTTGTGTCCAACAGCAGGAGGAGGATTCATGCATTTTTCTTGGAAGACTGATCAGTTACAGAAACTTGACATAGTATGCTAGAGTATAGATTCATTTGTGTTGGTATAGCCAGTCAAAAATTTTTGTGAGCTTGGATACATTTAGTATAGTATAGTGTTACAAGTCTACGTCTAAAATCAGACTAGGTCATTCTTCGGTTGACGTTTTTGTTAGTGAAGCACTCTTAATTCTCCACTTTTGTAAGCCACAGAGCAAACAGAAAATGTATATCTTCTGTATTTTTAAGCTTAACAGTCCAGTAAATAAAATGTTGGGAATTTATGTGCTTCAGATGAGACCACTGATGACTCCGCTTCTTAATCCAGAAGCATGCAGTTCTTGAAGCAATGTTGTGCTTCCCTGTTCCTAGAAACTTTTCTTTTGACAAGATTTGTCTCTTTGTTTTTCAATATACTTTTTTCCTTTTTACCCTCCTATCTTCTCTGAGCATTATCAGAGAGGCAGATTTTCCCTGACTTTAGTATTGCATATGGTACTAACTTGGATTTCACTTACAAGTAAGTTTTAAAGCTTCTCTCTGTTTTTCTCTATAAAAGCAAGTGATCAAAAGCTTTAATGCTACAATGATTAGACTTTGGAGATCAGATATGGGTTACAAGGGAGTGATGCTTCACAGAGATTCCAGAAACTAGGAAAAAAAAAAAGCAGCATTTATGTAACTTCTTTTCTTTTTCTCAAAGTTTCTTACTTCAAAACCACTGCCTGGTAGGAGGTAAGAGAAGCAAAACCTGCTGCATTTCTTTGTGAATTTTTTTTTTCTTTCTCTTGTAGATGAAGGTACTTTAATATAATAATTATTAGCATGGGAGTGGAAACATGCTGTTTAAAATATTTTAAATTTACGTAAAGAAGCATGCTGCTATTTTAGCCACCTTAATGTTTCTTTTGTGTTGGGGTTAGGGACTGGAAATCTGTAGGAAGGTCTGTAATGACACAGAAAAGGGTACACGTTTGACTTCCTGTTGCGTAATTGAGGACTTGACAAAAATATGTATTTTTGGATTTTGTGAAGTAGCCCTACCATTGATAGGACTGTCATGATGTGATCTGTTATTCTACTGGCAGCAGGGCTGAATCTGTCTCTTTCCCCATCTCCCCGTACTTCGAGCACTGTAGTAAGTGATAACTGCCAGTTGTCTGTGTCTCATAGTGCTGTCATGAACAGGCAGATAGATACTCGTGTTTTATACTTCTGGAGTTTGAACAGAATCCAAGCTTTATCTCTGCTGGGAACAGGCATGTTTCTGCATCTGGAAAGTTGGAGCCTGAGTGTTTGCTCCCAGCTTCTTCTAAACTCATCTTTTTCACAGGAAGAACGAGAGGCAGTAATTCATAGCTGTTTTTTAGGAGTCATACACTTGAGAAGGAGGAGGAATGGGAAGTGTAAAATATGCAGTGAGGGGTATGTTTTATCTTATGCAAATGGGATATAGGTGAAATGGGGAAAAATAATGGGATAACTAGGCAAGCGGTGTGAAAGTTTCCAAGAATACCAGTGAAGCAACTCTTAGCTACAGGTCTTTCATATTGGAGAGAGAGCACATTTTTGAAATCTTGAATGGAAATTATTGGAAGGAGATTCATAGAAAAACATGAGGATTTGGAGAATGTTTTTAAAAGCGAAAGGTGTGTCTATTTCTGTGAAATATTAATAGAAGAGCATTCCTTCTTCATGCACTGGATCCAGATCGGCATTGGTTTCCTTTTTCAGAGGTACTGTCTGCTTCAAAATGCTACTGTATGGCTTGCTGTCCTTGCTGTCTTTAAAGCTTCAGCTGGGGACTGGAGTGGTGGAGGAAATTAAGCAGAGCAGAAATTTAAAAAAAAAAAAAAAAAGGTGTATACTAATGACTAAATTTAGTTGCATCTTAATGAATGGTCCAAAGGTGAGCGATACAGCTAACAAGCGGATGTAACACAAGCTAAGTCTGTCACTTCGCTTTAATTAAATTTTACATCTTAATGATAGAAAAGCAGTAAAAGGATAATGTTCTCTGGCAAATAATTCCCATGCTGTAAGATAGCCTTAATGTTCTTGGTATTCCCATACAAGTCTCATTCGCTTAATTACAGATTGCTCAACCTCCACAGAGTGCCAAATCACACTGTATTGGAGGAAGTCTTCTATGTCTGGATAGGATTGCTGTTTTTTTTAGACTATTCTAAGTGAATATTATTGTACAAGTTTTAATTAAAGCATTAGTCAAATAGGAATTCAGTGATATAAAATGCTTCCAAAAAGAAGTAGGCTTATGCATAATTTTTGTGGTAACTTCCAAGAATAATTTTATATCTGTAAGTTGTCACAAGCTTGTTAGTTCTTCTGTTTCATACCCCTTTTTTCTTGACAGTTTAATGATGGTGGCTGTAAAAGCACTACTAAAAGCTAACACATGTGTTTTTATACCAGCTCTTAATTCCAACTTGTAGATCAGTCGCTGGATTGGCATATGAC